AAAATTATGATTGACAGATGACCATTGACATATGATTGGCTGAATTAGGTGTTCAGGCTGATGTATAACTAACTGGCCTGGATAAGATAACGAAAAAAATAAAAATAAATAAAACACACATTTTTGGACAATAACGTCTGATAAAGAGTACATTTATAAACATGTTTAAGCCAGAATGATTTGAAATTTAAATATGACTTCCCTATGACTTTAAAGTACGATGTGGTAAATCACCTGAGGATCTGAGAGGATGGCCAAACATTCCTCCACTGAGCGCAGTTCTGGTCCACAGCTTGGAGGAGCACTGCCTGCCTGAGCAGAGCTCTCCTCCAAAAATGAGTCGCAGTGTTTCTCTTCCATTGATTTAGTGACTTCTGCAGAAGAGAAACCAGTTAGATGAAGATTGATTTTAATCAGACATCAACTGGGATCAAAGGGAGTTACAGTATTCGTACAAATGGATGCACTGGTTGCAAAATGTTTCACATGTCAACAGGAATTAGAAACAAATGAACTTTGGCCAAAAAACTATAGATTTGGAAAATAAAAAGAAAACGCTACAGCGCCTGGAGTCTGAATCACTCTGCGATCAACAACCATAAAGGACATTCTGATGATCATGTTTCATTTGTTGTTCAATGAGGTCTGATGAGGATCAGGTAGAAAACTCAGAAAAAAAAAAAAAACTTTGATAATTTCCACACGGCTGAAGCTTCATATTAAGCTGATGTGGTTTATTTCAGAAATAAAGGTCCCATGTTATTTTGACACAAATAGACGGCTGTAAATCAGCAAATCTATCTAAATGATCAAATATCATGATTACAATTATATCAACTCACAGAAAGTTATTTATTTCTATGCTGTTTAAAATGAACAGCTTTGTAATTGTGGAAAAATAATAATCGATCATCTGTTCTATGGTCTTCTGCCCTGTGAATTTCAAAATAAAATTGATGGATGGCTGCATTACACCAAGTAGTTTCTACTCTGTACTGGCGCTGGATAATATAGACTACAAGTAACATCTCAACATTTTTAAACTGATATAAACAGTACATATTTTTAATATATTGGTTTATAAAAAGTCGCCTCTGGATTAGCCTATCTAGGCACTCTGGTCAGGCTTAATGGTGTCCCGTCTAAATGGACATTTATTATGTCCTAGAAGCGCTGTTTATATATATCAAAAATATAAACCATCTTTTCTTTCTTTAAAAGGAGGTTTTTATATCACATCTTTCGTTGTCCGATTGGTTCTAACCAGGGCTGCAACTACAGATAATTTTGCAAATTGATTAATCTGTTGATTATTTTTTGATT